GAATACGGGACAATACAGCTGTTATCTAAGGTTTCGAACGCTCCAGAGCGAGATTTGATTGTAACTTTCCTGCCACCATCTTCTCGAGATCTGCGTCTCTATAAAGGATAGCCATTGTCATTGTACACTGTTTCTTTTAATAGCTGTTTAGGGAATTTCTTTGTACATTTTCCTTCTTTCATACATGGCGATATTGAATTTGGTGCTCCACATGCACCGTGAATCATATTTCGAACGATGGTATCATACAATTCTTTATCTTGCTCAGGATCCGGAATCTCGGCGCTTATTATATCGTCTATTTGGCTGGGTCGCAACTTCTCTTTAAGGCATATTAGAATTTGGGCATACGGTAATCCTCTTTTTTTGCCAATCAATTGAATACGTGAAGCACTGCAACTCTCCGAAAATTTTTCCTTTGTTAATTACATACATTAATTTTTGTACTTTTAATCCAAATATCTAGCAACTAAATCGTGTCTGTCAGTACTTTTTTGGCCCGGCATTAGCTCCTCGGTTCTTTCTTTTCATGTGGGATTACCAGTAAATGTAACAGAAAGATCAAATCTTCCGTAAGTTCGTATATAGGCGAATGCGTCTTGTGTGTACTCATGTAGGTAGCAGGGACTGTTAACAAATTATTAGGGCAGAATTACCATTTTACTTAAATCTCTGGGGTTTACATTGGCGTCGCTAGAAACTGCATCTTGTAAAGGTATATAATTCTCAACGCGCAGCTTTATTTGATTTAAAGATATATAACGGACACGTTCACTTTCTACCTTCACATACATGTCTACCAAAAATTGAAGAAATAATTGTCTACACTGGGCTAAGAGGTTAAAATAATTTTCTCGCAACATCATATGATACGCTTAAAAATCCATACATAATACTTTTTTGTTCGGAATAGGCTCCTTTGTGACTGCGTTAATGAGTGGAATTTGAAAATGATAACCCTCTTGTCCTTTGCAATAAATCAATGGGTATTGCAGAGCGTCATAAAACTTGTGTGTATCGGCTACCCGTTGCAACGTATCATCACGTGCTCGCAAGACAATGTCTCGTGAAGAAAATTGATCACTACTAATTACGGCTGCTATTTAGTTTATCAAAGGTGCATTGTAGCGCCTTTCATGCTCTCCTCGAGGGGTCCGATCTGCGTGAATGATGACTTTATAATCCTCTTCAGGTAGGTTTTCTAAAGCAGTTTTAAATGTTTTGACTAAAATGTTACGGAAAAAAGATAAAACATGCAAGAATCTTTGAATTTTGAACACTGTGTCTCTCTTAACTCCCCTGGATAGATTGGCAGCGAAGGTCTACCTCAATTTCTTCGTCACACATAAAACATACTTGTAAAAATTAATGCTGTTAGTTTTTAGCTGTAAAAAGTGAGCCTATTCTATGACAAATTTGCCCTTGCACCGTAAATGTAGGCGAAAATCCCTGCATTATTATTTCCCGGTTCCGGGTTCGGTTCCGAAGGACGTTATTTGAAAGTATGAGTTATATTTCCAGATCCTGCTTAAAAAGCTCCGTGACTCATTAGCATCATATAAAAAGAGAGTTTTCAAAGGTTCTTCTGGTTCCCCAAGTAACGGAAGAGACACTTTGCCATTGGAAGAGCACATGCCTGCGGTCTCAGCTTTCCATTTTTAACGCCTTGTCTATCAGTCCGATAACAACTAACCTGTGATTTTTATTATCAATCAACGGATCATAATTGAATGCTGCGTCATTAAAAACCGACCAATTGTTTCTTTGAAAATTCTTTTGACGTTCAGCTTGGAGCTGTGCATATGCATATTTTCGCGCCTGTGTCTGATCTGGTATTTTTGATGCCCTTATAGTAGATTGACGTTCACATTGCTCAATGAGTCTGTGTTGAGTTTCATCAGGTGTTTCCGCGGCTCTTAAGGAGGCCTGACGTTCCTTTTGTTCGAACAGCCTTTGCTGACTTTGAGCAGGTGTTTCACAGTAGCTCTTAAAGTAGATTGACGCTCTGCCTGTTCGAGACGGCTTTGCTGACTTTGATCAGGTGTTTCAGTAGCTCTTAAAGTAGCTTGACGCTCTGCCTGTTCAAGACGCCTTTGCTGACTTTGATCAGGTGTTTCAGTAGCTCTTAAAGTAGCTTGAGGCTCTGCCTGTTCAAGACGCCTTTGCTGACTTTGAGCATGTGTTTCAGAAGCTCTTAATGTAGCCTGACGCTCTGTTTGTTCAAGACGCCTTTGCTAACGTTGAGAAGTTGTCTCAAATGCTCTAAAAACAGCCTGACGCTCTGCTTGTTCTTGCCTTCTCAGTTCAGCATCTTCTAAAGATTCTAGCAATCGAGCTTATCTTTTTCCTTGTCTTTGAGAAGATACTCTTGAAAGGATGCGAGCATTATGAAATCACAAAAAACCTATTTACAGAAAAAACGTTGGAATACCTAAAAGGAATTAAATTTCCTTTTAAATATTTTTTTTAAAAGCAAATCCAAAATATCTTAAAGGAATAAATATTCCTTTTAAATATTTTTTAAAATCAATGGATTGATTTTACAACATTATAAAACAATTCAAGACACAACACGAATCCGAAAACGATAGCCAATAAAATCGAATCAACTTCAACCAAATCAGAAAACAAATCGCAGAAAACGGAAATCGAAAGCAGTAGTCAATATAAATATAACCAAAGAAAAAAGAAGTAAGTGTTTATAGGTACCGTATACACTATCTATACTATTAATATTCCTTTGAAATATTGTAACAACGAAAACCAATTCACGATTCTAAATATACAAAATCCAAAATCAAAGCCAGAGTCTAAATATGTATAAAGGAATACCAACCAAATCAATAAAACCGATCCAAGAAAATACACAAATCTGAAAATGAAAGCCAATATAAATCCATTCAACCTTAACCAAATCACAAAGCAAATAACAAACAACCGAAATCGAAAGCAGTTATTTGAACAAGCTACGAAATAGAAACAATTTAAGCGTATAAGTACCGTAAGCACTATAAGTTGACGCGCGGCTCAACGGCGGGAGTTAAGTACATGTCAGGAAACATTTCGTTACCGCGTTTTAAAAACCTAGTAACGACATCTAGCGGAATCAATTTAAACTATGTATACGTTAGTTAATAAGAACTCTCAAAAATATTTTTCTTATAATTTTGCACTTTTTTTCTTATTGTACTACCGATTCATTCATAACCACATATAAGAACTGTATTCATTTCCGTTCAATAAATATTACTAAGGCTTATGAATAAGGCTTACTAAGAACTGTTTCTACCACAGTTAAGTAATAGTTAAGGGTGAAAACATGACAGGTGGTGATAGTATTTCTGATCCATACTTATAATCACGCCTGTAACCCTTGCGGGGTGGGCAGAGCATCAACGGATTAATGTCACCTCGATACAATGCACCAAAACTAAAAAATCAGCTAATTATTTTTTATCGCTCTCTTCCCGGTCCTGCGTGGAAAAATACAGATCCATACATTTTTTATCTTAATTTTGGTAAAAAGACATAATAATCCAGATATTTTGACCTTCTGTGTTCGTCCATCGTACCGTCGTCCGTCTTGTAGAATCACGGTGGCGCCACCTAGCTGAATTTAATTTTGCAACATATTCTATTTTCCCACGGGAATGAGATGTTTTTCCGTGGAAAAAAGTAACCTTTGTCACTCTACAGCCACCGAACTATCCCCATACAAACAATCATGCCATGCCGACGCTCTATTGCAACGTGAAAGAAGGACAAACAAACAAACAAACAAACAAACAAACACACTTTCGCATTTATAATATTAGTATGGATGACCGAAAAAACCGAAATTCGAATTCGAATGTCTGAAGGCCGTGGGTTTGAATCTCACACAAGGCAGGTACTTGCGTCGTTTATAATTTATAGTACTGGTATGAATGTTCGTTCTTGTGCAATTTATTTTTCTAAACTACCTCCACAATACATGAAAAACTTCTAGTGGGAGGGTAACGTTTAACTACTAAACAAAGAGACAACTTAGAGTCCACCTGTAGGTGAGTGGCAACAATAACCAATAGATACCTTCAACTAACTTCATAAATAGAAAGCAACAGATGCGTTGTCATATCACTGAGGAATGCTCTCTATATCCTTTAGATTGGAACACAACGTAGCACGTACTACGGCTTGCAGGCAGAAATAGTTAAAGAAATGGATGATACCCATCACTACATACATGCACTGATAGATTCCTAGGGAGGATATAAGTCCTACCACATATTGAATCTTGCACTTGATGCAATTTGCTGATTGAATACGATTCTGCCGACCTACTTGTAAATACATTTTTTTTATGTTAGGATTATTAGAGTGTGTTCTCGTTTATTACGTTATTTTACTGAATTGTATGTATTTATTGTCTTAAAATATATTCAGTTCTATTAATAAGGTTTCCAGTAAACATAGTCTTATTTGCTTACACTTTTACAATAATTACTCTTGCATATCATTGAACCAAATATTCTTGCGTTGCTTTAAAGTACATTTCTTCTTACTTTCTCAACAAACCTACGGCTTAAAATCGTTCTAAAACGCAGAATTAATAATAATAATAATAATAGAAAGGCGTAGGGAAGTGACGACTCCATCGCCCGCTGACGTAACGGTTATGTGCCAAGAGGTGTGAGCGCCGTGCCTAGGCAAAATTGTGGGTGCAAAGGTCCGTTTGTGCATATGACCCAACCACGAAACGGTACCGGGCTTGGACGTCTCCCGTTATTTGGCGGCCATAAAATGGATGATAGCACAGAGAGGAACGCGCATAGGGCCGCTGCCAAGGGGGTTGCCGGGTCGCGTCTGGAGCTGGCGCTGGACGCGGCAGCATGCGGGCCGCCGACCGAGCGCGAGGAGCTAGCAGCCCCTCGCATCCATCATCCCCACCAGAAGGCTTGGTGTTGGTTGGGTCTTATCGGACTTAGCAAGCAGCACCCGCCGCTTGTGGAGCACGTCGCATGAGTTGGACAAAAGCTATGCATAGCTTTTTTGCAGAGCTGGAGCCATCTATTCCTATCACGAAACAAAACCTGGCAGACCAAGTTTGGTACATCATTCTCTCGAAAATATTTGATGATGCCGAACTCGAACGACTACGACGTGAGGCTATTCCATCATTGAATGAATCGGCTATGGCTGGGTATACAGCACCACATGCGACAGACCAGCATCCACACGTGGAAGCCGCCATGGATCTTCCGGTTGTGGTTGATTCGAACGACGATTAAATAGTCTCCCACGAACTAGAGCAAATGAGGAGCATATTGGATGAAGTGATTTTGGAAACGCGCAGCACCCCTCTCGAAAATCGACCGCGACTTCCCTGCATACCCCTAAGCAAGCGAAATCGGGCTATCGTGATGGCTCTTAACCCAATGCTGGTGACCTATTTGGAAGCCAGCCGGGACATTTGCGAGACGGACTCAATTATTTTTGGCGCCGCATTGGCAGTTTGCCGTATTACTGGCGCCAAACTTCCCATGGCTGGACGCGTTACTAGACAAAGTAGCGCCATCCCAGCCTGGAGAAAAAGAATCGAGGACCGTATCGAAAAGGCAAGGACCCTTATCGGCAGACTGACAAGCTTCAGGTCGGGTAATAATATACCGAGGATTGTGCGCACCGTTAGGATGGCGTTTGCTGGGACAAATATCAGTTTGTCTCAGGCGGATATCACGCGGAAACTAACGAAGCGCATTATTAGACGACCTGAAGCAAAAGATCGCTGCTTGGGAGAAGCGGATTCGACGATTTACCGAGAGATTAAGGCAGTTTAACCAGAATCGTCTCTTCCAGAGTGATCAGAAGAGGCTCTATAAATCATTGGAGCGACCATACGTATGTGGAGCGGGCCCAGGAGGGTCCAGCGAGGGCCCTTGGATGGAAGTTGTGGCGAGCTAGGGTGCGAGTGTTACGCCTATGGACCCCATCACCATAACGCCGGAAAACGTGGCTGAGGCGGTCCGTAGGGCCCCGAAATGGAAAAATCCGGGGCTCGACGGGCTGCATCATTACTGGCTGAAGGGGTTCATAGTGTGTCACGCTGTGTTCGCCCGACAGTTTCAAGAGGCTCTCGAACAGAAGTCGCTCTCGAGCCTCTTCACTATTGGGATCACTCACTTGGTTCCTATAGGTCAGTATACCACAAACCCGAGCAAATACCGCCCCATCACGTATCTACTCACCATACATAAGACACTGACATCCATTTTGAGCGCGAGAATCACTCGTCACCTGGAGCTAAACCAGGTGATGTCACGCGCTCAAAATGGATGTCGGGGCGGTAGTCGTGGAACCAAGAAACCACTCCTCATTGACGCGGTCATAGTCAAAGTGGTGAAACGTAACCGTCGGAACTTCTCTGCCGCCTGGATAGACTACAGAAAGGCGTTCGACTAGGTGCCCCATACATGACTAAAATGGGTCCTCGAGCTGTACAAGATTAACTGTGCAGTTAGAGGTTTCCTCGAGCAGTGTATGGGGCATTGGAGTACGATCTTTTGTCATCTGGCCGAGCGGATGATGGCTGCGGAAAATCACATAAGGATAAGAAGGGGTATCTTCCAGAGCGATTGTCTGAGTCCAATCAGGTTCTGCCTCTCTCTGAACCCTCTCAGTACCTTACTGGAGGGCTCCGGAAGGGGATTTCAGCTACGGAAATAAGAGACAAAAGTGACCCACTTTTTCTATATGGAAGACCTCAAGTTAGTCGCTCCCATCTTATGGAATTTCTAAACATCACTTGTGAATTTAGCAATTCCATTGGAATGGAGCTGGGGATGGATAAGTGTGCGGTCCTCCATGTTGTAAGGGGAAGGGTTGCTAACTCTGAGGCCAAAGACTTGTCTATGCCCGTCAACTTAAGGACCCTTTCCGAGGCGGTACTTAGGTATATCACAGAACATCGGTATCGATGAGGCTGGTATGTAATAGTCAGTTTGCGACGTGTTTTATGCACGCTTGATCAAAGTGCTTAACAGGCTTTTGTCCGGTCTGAATAAGACACATGCATATAACTGCTGGGTCATGCCTGTCCTCATGTATACCTTTGGCATACTCAGGTGGGCTCAGACCGAACTTAACGCCTTGCATAGAAAAGTCCGCACTACCATGACGTCCCATGGATGCATCATCCGAGATCGTCGGTAATGAGGCTGTACTTGCTGCGAAAGCATGGTGCGCGTGGTTTTCTGAGCGCGCTCACCATGCATAATCGCGAAGTGTGCAGCCTCCGTCATTACTTCCTGGCAAGATCGGATGATCCATTCTATAATAACGTCATTTCTAGTGATCAAGGGCTTACGCCTCTATCCTTAGCCAACGAGCAATTGCAGGACCCAGTAGTGCTTAGCATTTCCGACCGGGAGACCGTATGGAAGGAGAACGAGCTCCACTGGAGGTACTACAGGGCTCTACATGAGCCCTTCGTGGATACAGTCTCCTCCCTCAACTGGCTTCGTTTCCGTGACCTCTTCGGGAAACCGAGAGTTTTGTCTGTGCAATACAGGATCAGGTTATTAAGACCAACAACTATCTGAGATAAGTCCTAAAGAATGGCACCGTCGACGTCTGTCGAGCTTGTCGCCATCCCGGGGAATCACTTAGACATGTCATCTCCGGTTGTTCGGTGCTTTCTAACTCTGAGTACTTGCACAGGCACAACCTAGTAGCCAGAATTCTACACCAGGAGCTCGCTCTGAAATACGTTCTCGTGGGCCGGAAATTACCGTATTATAAGTTCTTGCCGGAAGCCTTGCTCGAAAATGACCGCGCCAGGCTCTACTGGGACCGGGTCGTCATCACAGACAGACAGAGACTATTCGCGAATAAGCCTAATTAGTGCTGATGGACCGGGCACAGTCAAGGATATTTTTGGTCGAAATTACCATTCCATATGACGAGAATATCGTGAAATCTGTAACAGATAAGCGCACAAAGTATCTGGACACGGCTCACGAAGTGACTGACATGTGGGGAGGTCGGCACGCCGAAATTATTCCTGTAGTCGTCACTGCGAATGTGCTAATCCCAGTCAGCCTCTCGGGTCATCTGAGGCGACTGGAACTCTGTGACGGACCCCTCCGGGCTCAAATGCAGAAGGCAGTGTTCCTCGATACCGCCCGCATCGTTCGTCGGTTTCTTTCCCTTTCCTCCTAACCCTCGGCCGTTTGGTCTCCCCTGCCGAGGGCTTCTATCTGGTTGGATCTTTATTTATTTACGTATTTTTTGTATTTGTATTTATCTTTTAATTTTAATTTATAATTATATATTTATAGAACCCAATCAGATGAGAAAACTATACAGATATCCCAATAAAAAATCAAATAGAATTGGTTTACAGTCATTAGAGGCTGGAGTCTCCATTTAAGCAAATAATGCCTGTAGCAGGTGAATCCGCTCTTCAACATCAATATCTATACATTCAAATAATACTAGTTTTTACGGAATTTATCGCGTATATTTAACTTTTTAAATATCCGACGTTTCGAACCCTTTACAGCACTCATTGTCACGGGCGGGACTGAGATGTTCAACGTCCAGATGTCATAGTTAACCGCGGTTACCATAGATTAAAATTTAACTTTTAGTAGATTTTCTGTAGATCGGAACAAAAACTAGTATTATTTCAATGTGTAGTGTTCGCGTAAACATAAGAAATCAATATCTATATGTTATATTACATGCTTTTTAAACACGTATTACAGAAAATAACTTACAGACTAAAAGGGAGTATTTACAGTTAATTTTCCTCTGTTTATGTGTCGTCCATTTTACTGGATGTAAAAGCAACTCAGTGTTCTCATAATTAAGTGACTAACCAATGATGAAATAACTTTTAACATTCTTAATATTGTTTCAAATATATATCTAGTTTTTTTTTTTAATTGATTTTATTATAAATTTGAGCTGAACGCCTACTGTATTGATTACTAGCAAACTTAGTTTTAGTTTTGGGTACTGTAGCCACATTTTTTTTCTTTTTCTTTTTTTACTTGCATCGTAGGGTATATTTTTATGTTTATTTAGTGTGATCTGTTATGTTCGAGGAGGACTCACTGGCCCATGCCGCAAAAGAGAAAGCCGATCTGCTATGCTCTTTCTTTGCATCCAACTCGACTCTCGATGACGGGGAGAGTACGCCGCCGACAATTCCGCGGTATGAGTGCTCCATTCCGGAGGTGCGATTCACACAGCGCTCGGTACGCAAAGCACTCGTCTCCCTGGACATCCACAAGTAGGCCTGACGGGATCCCCCCCAATTGTGCTGAGGACTTGTGCTCCAGAGTTTGCACCGGTTTTAACGCATCTTTTCCGATACTCCTACTTCGTATGCGTAGTCCCAAAATCATGGAAAACGGCTTTTGTCCACCCGAACCCTTAAAAAAGGCGACCACTCAGACCCATCCAACTACAGGCCTGTCGCAATCACCTCCTTGTTCTCCAAAACAATGGAGTCCATTGTAAACTGCCAGCTCATGAAGTACCTTGAGAATCACCAGCATATTAGTGATCGCCAATACGGTTTTCGGCGTGGTCGATCAGCTGGTGATCTTCTGGTCCACCTAACTCATAGATGGGCGGAGGCAGTAGAGTCCAAGTGGGAGGAATTGGCCGTTAGTTTGAACATTGCGAAGGCTTTCGATCGGTTTTGGCACAAAGAGCTTCTTTTGATGCTGCCTTCCTATGGGCTTCCCGAGAAATTGTGCAATTGGACCACCAGCTTTCTTGCAGATCGGAGCATCAAGGTCGTTGTAGACGGTGCAAACTCCGATTACAAGCATATTAATGCTGGGGTTCCACAAGGCAGCGTGCTATCGCCAACTGTGTTTCTTCTGCATATCAATGATATGTTGCAAACCCGTAACATTCACTGATATGTAGATAACAGCACTAGTGATGCTCTGTACACCGGCCGTGCCAATATTTCTCGGAAAAACGTCTCCGAGTACCGGGACAAACTTTTGTCTGAAGTTGAATCTTTACTAAACAAAGTCCCGGAATAGGAGAGATGAAATCAAATCCAACTTAACCCTCAGAAGAAACAAATTTTTTAAAAAAAAGTTACCCCTACACTGGGAATTTCTCCTGTAATGTGGAAGCAGTTTACAAACATAAATTGCACAAGTACAAGCATCCAGAGCCGGAAAAATTATTCGTAGGCCATACAAATACTTCTACTACGTTCGGGAAACTCCCACCATTGTTCTTGTCTGCTTTTCCTCAGAATCTTAAGATGAAAGTGTATACAACCAGTGCGTCTTGCCAATAATGGCTTACTGAACCGTCGCGTGGTCCTTTACTGCTGGCTGTATGAGGAAACTCAAAGTCGCTCCACGTGCAATTGCTAGAAATTTCTCTACGGGGTAAAATTAGTGACAAGAACGTCCTCCAAAAAAGACTAATAGTAATCATAGCAACATCCAGTACATTAGTAAGCAAAAGACACCCGATGACGAAGAAATAATACTCACTGGCAGCACTGTACATTTTGGCAACGGAAGATAATAACTTCATAAAATCATATATCGTTCCCTAAGATAAATGTCAAATTTATATTAATAACAAATATGTGTAAAGATAAAGATATTGATTTGAAATAACTCATAGACATTCTATTCACACTACGAATAAAGAATTAAATTACATAATACATAACATACACACTCACGCCCGTCACCCATATGCAGAGGTATGCAGAGACCATGGACTTCCATTTGGCATGATCCCGAGGAATAAGGATATAAAGGAAGCGAGAGAGGTATGCCTCTCTCGCTTC